ATGAGAATGTCACTCAAGGGTGTTATATAAACTGTTGTAAGCACCCCTTTTTTTTTTTTTTTTGCTTTTTTTTTTTTTTGGGGGGGGGGGGGGTCTGTATGAATTGAGTCATCAGTTTTTAATCCCATAATGAGTTGTTTATATAAACTACCTTAAGATAAAGCCTGACCTTGCTTCCTGTGCAAAAGTCAAGCAGAAAATTTCAGAATAAGAAACAATTTCCCTACTGAAGTTAGCGGGAACAATTTTACTGATTTTTAATTATAAGATTGAGGTCTGGCTGAAAGCAGACATGCCAGTAGTACTTCTTGTAGAGTACTTTCCTCACTAATGTCCTTTGATTGCTTCTTTTGGAGGGAATGGATGGACCCGATTTTCCAGTTGTCATTGACAGCCAGGTTTGACTAGAAGGGTGTGAACAAGGATAATTAGAGTATGCAGAACACCTAAGCCCTATGCCATACTTGCTGGCTGAATTCCATCCGAGCCCAGGCCTATATATTTAAAGGCAGCATCAGAACATGAGAAGTCATTGCGACCCCATGTGGGTTCAAGCTGTGAAGGGATGTTCCTAGTCCTCCTCCACTGAAACAGAGATAAGCTGCTGAATATAACAAAGCAAGGATTTTATGAAAAATATCTGAAAATAATCAGAGCCTTAAATATGAACATGTAAAAATGTTTATGAGAGAGTTTAAACATTGAATCTTTTCCCAGTTTGGATTTTTGCCCTGGGAAAACTCATGAAGTCCATGTTAGTAGTTATTCAAAACAGTGAGACATCTAATTTTATTATATACTCAGGCCAAGCGAGATGGATGTTTTATATGTTGAATATGTTGATAAGGGCTCAATTCACCATATCTAGCATTTCACTTTGTTTTGCTTCAATATGTTTATGGAAACATATTTAAGTTTTGTTCTCTTCAACACACAAGGTCTATGTTGGAAGGAAAGCTACCATCCCATTTTCAGAAGTCACCTTCATTGGTTTTGCATCAGGTTTCATTTTCTGAATACCTAGTTCATTTTTGACTCACTGTGTAAAAGTTTACATAGTTTTACTCAGCTGGGTGAAACATGCTGAGGACTAAAGGCTGCTCCTACTAAACTCATTGCTAGCCTATTACTCCCATAGATACAGTGGATCTGTGCACTGTCAGACAGCTCTGTAGTCAGAGTGTTTTTTTAAATACCTGTCCTCCTCTGACAGCTGCCCACAGCACTCGGCCAGGCTGACCTCTCTGTTGCTGTGCCAATATGCAGCACATAATTCAGGCTGGATACAGGTGTTATTGGACAGAGGGGATGTGCAGCCAGGACAATTAGCACAGCAGCTAATGACCTTTCCTACTCATCCCCCATATCGCTGTAAAAATAGACTTGCTCTCAGGAAAAGTATTACATCTTACAGTGTTGATACAGAAGCATGTATTGGATTAAAATAATAATTTGTTATTCCACACTGCATTATCCAGGATTATCTAGGTTACCGGTGTTTACCATAGCATCTTTGCAGAGGAATCCTTGATTGGCATTGCTGGAAATCCTTTCTGTGCCAATCCTGCTCACCTGACTTTGATATTACCAGTTGATTGGAAACTGTCTTGGAGATCAGTGTCTCCAGGGCAATGAACTCCTCTTCAAAGAAGTCACAGACCTTACTACTGTGTATGAATGAACAGCTCAACATCAGCACTCCCTCCATGTCAAATATATGCATTAATTTAAGAATGTAGCAGACGTGGCAGCCACAGACAGAGAAATGTGACTCATCTCAGCTGCAGTCTGTGCATGCAGGCCACATGAAATGTCAGCTGTCAGAACTCACAGTGCAGTTCATTAACTTGAAGGCCCAGCGAACGCTGCTTTACATGCAGTGCTTGGAGAGGAGACAAAGAAAACTAGTTCATATTAAGCCCTGATGAAACAAAACCTGAGGTTTTCCCCAGCTTTTCTGAATGCAAACGAGAGTGACTCATATTTCTTTTGGGCAACTTACTATTTCCATACCAAACTGAGATAAGATGTCCCCAGAGCTTGTTATCCCAGAATTTCGCTTTCTATTCATGGGTCTTGCTTAGACCTTACAGGGTCTGAGGACAGCCAAGCAAAGCTATGGCTCTAGTTTGGCTGTGGGAGTTTTCTTGCTACTCTTTGAACAGTTCTTGGGATTTATACAGAAGGAAGACACAACAGCCAAAACCAAAACCCTCCAGCCTTGCTGTGCTATCGTTTAGGGGCACAGTCAACACCAGACTTAAAAGTCCTAAGGGATCCTGTATGCCAAGTCCCAGTCCACCCCTCAAGAAAACCAGCCTAAAACACAGAGTTTTTAGAGAAGATAGAAGTCATTCAGCACACTGAATGGGGTTCTCAAATCTCTGAGCCAAGTTAAGCCCCAGGGCAGCCAGTGAATATGTGAGGTTTAAATGATACCAGGTTGGGCTTTACCAAGTGGAGTTACTCCAAGTTTACTCCAGTGCTCCAGACCAGAATT